ACTTTTGAGGTCACAAACCATTTATTTAATCTAGTGAGGCACACCCACTCAGCATGCAGACACTGCCTCTACCCATCCCTCTCAATTGCCTATTCTACCAATAAACACTGCTGCTTTCTTTGAAAAACTGAACTTAACTGAACCAACCAATTAGCCCTCTCGATGAATGCACTATGTGCTTATAGGGTACCTGGGCCCTCCCCCCAAAGTGGGCAAGTCTGCCCTTGCTGAACATCCAAGTTTTAAAATGCTGCCTTAAAAACAGTTACCTATTTTCCCCAAGAATTCTTACTAGAGAGAATTTTGAATACCACAAATTACTAGAATCTTTCAGAACTAACTAGTGAAAATCAAATGTTCTTCCACTTGAAGCAAAAAAGTATTTAAAACAAAAATTCTTATTCCCAGGTCTAAGTAGTTACATTGTTTCTGAAAAACCTGGAGGCCTTCAGGGCTTCTTATCAGGCCCTGCCAAACCTGAGCAGGTAGAATGGCCATTCCAGCTACTCCTCCTGTTTCTGCCCCGACTCAACTTCTTTCCTCAACTACTATCACATTAATTCCCCAGTTACAGTTTCCCTTCAATGGAAACAAAAGCTAGTAGCTGTTTAGTAAACCACCCTTCATTAGTTATTTTTTTGACTTCCTCTAAGAAGCAGGACCAACACTTTGTTCTTTCTACTTTGCCCGTCTTGCTATTTAAAATAATGTGTGGGGTGCAGTGGCGCACCCCCGTAATCCCAGTGGCTCTGGAGGCTGAGGCAGGAGGATTACAAGCAACTTATGGAGGCCCTAAGCAACTCAGTGAGACCCTAGGGCTGGGGATGTAGCTCAGTGGTTAAGTGCCCCTGGGTTCAACCACTAGTACTAAAAAAAGAAAAGAAATCTTGTGCTCCAGTGCCTCCTTGAGATAGAATCCTACTTATTCTAGTGACTCTTATACTTCTAAGATATCATTAAAATAATTCCCAATAGAAGAAAGTTCAAAACTGTCTCAAAGGCAGATAATATCTTTTCCTTTCATACTAGTTAACTGATTGAGAAAGGTAAAATGAAAAGTCCTTTTTGTTTGTTTGAGATGGGGTCTCTCTAGCTGTGATGCCCAGCCTGGGCTGGGTGAAGCTCCAGCGTCAGTTTCCCAAGTAGCTGGGCTTACAGGTGTGCTCCATAGTACACAACTTGAAAAGTCGTTTTTTTTCCTTCTAGTAAAATTTTTCTTTTTTCTTTTTCTTTCTTTCTTTTTTTTTTTTTTTTTTTTTTCAGTGCTAGGATTGAACCCTGGGATGTTCTACCACTGACAGATATCATTAGTTCATTTTAATTTATTTTTTTGAGTCCAAGTCTTGCTAAATTGCTCAAGGTGGCCATAAACTTGCAATCCTGCTTCAGCTTCCGGAGTCACTGGAATTACAGACATGCACCACCACTCCCAGCATTGGGAGTGCTGCTAACATGGAGTTTTAAAACAAACAATCAGGAAAATTATTTTACTTCAGGTACAACCAAACCATATTTAAGGAAATGTTAAATTTACAGAAACTCTTGGTGATTAAGATTACTGGAAAAATGTAACTTACTGTTGAGAAAATTTCCTCAAATCCTCTGAAGTCTTTAAAAATAAGACAGAGCTGAGCACAGTGGCCTATAATCCGAGCCCGCGGCTCTGGAGGCTGAGGCAGGAGGATGGTGAGTTCAAAGTGAGGCACTACACAACTCAGTGAGACCCCCATCTCTGATAAAATACAAAACTGGGCTGGGGATGTGGCTCAGTGGTTGAGTGCCCCTGAGTTCAATCTCCAGTATCCAAAAAAAAAAAAGGCGGGGGGGGGAGAATAAAAATAAGACAGAATTCTCGGGCTCGGGATGTGGCTCAAGTAGTAGTGTGATCGCCTGGCATGCGTGAGGACCTGGGTTCGATCCTCAGCACCACAATAAAATAAAGATATTGTGTCCACCTAAAACTAAAAAATAAATAGTTTTTTAAAAAGACAGAATTCTGTATCAAGATTCATTTAGTAAAGTCCTACAAAAAGAATTACATAAAACCCCAAGGTTCTTTCTTTCCTCTTTTTTTTGTACTGGGTTTGAACTCAGGAGCACTTAACCACTGAGCCACATCCCCAGCCCTTTCTTTTTTTGTATTTTATTTAGAGACAGGGTCTCACTGAGTTGCTTAGTGTCTCACTAAACTGCTAAGGCTGGCTTTGAACTTGCAATCCTCCCAATCCTCCCGGATCCTCCTGTCTCCACTTCTTGAGTGGCACTGTGCCCTACCCAAAGGTTCTTTCTAATTAGAATTCTGTCAAAGTTTTTCAAAAGCTAATTGTCACCCTTTACCTCAAAATCTGATTCTCCTCCCAATCATCTGAATGGAAAAAATCACTGCTTTACTATTTAGCTCTTCTGAAAACTACTGACATTGCTAAACAGTAATGTCTGATTGTTTTCAAACGCCTTCCTTTAACACCATCTATTTAAGTACACTCAACCTGAATCTAAGAGTTGACATTTTAGCATATGCATCCATCTCAGAAGCATATTCTAGAGTATGTGGAAATCTTAAGTTTGTAACTTCTCTCCTGCTTATTAAAAGACAAATATTAGGTTATGTGAGGAAATGCATTTATCTCTACCATATTACACTACATATTATATTTAATAAAAGATCGACACACACCTATATGCCTAACATCTTTTTTTTTTTTTTTTTTTTTTTTTTTTCAAGGATTAAACTCAGGGGCACTCCACCACTGAGTCACATCTCCAGCCCTACTTTGATTTTATTTAGAGACAGGGTCTCACTGAGTTGCTTAGCTCCTCACTTTTGCTGAAGCTGGCTTTGAATTTGCAATCCTCCTACCTCAGCTTCCCAAACCGCTGAGAATAACAGGCGTGCACCACTGCACCCGGCTATGCCAAACATCTTATATGTACTGTGAGACATGGTTGGCAAGATTTCCTCCAGAACATAAGGAAATACAGGTAGTGGTTTCAGTCTCTGTAACTGAACAAAAACAACTTTAAAATATTTTTAATATACTCTATTGCTCTCAATAAGTTACCAAGATCTGTCTTCTGCATAAGAGAAAGAATGAAAAAAAAAAAAACTCAAACAATATGCCTCTATATGAATGTGCAGATCTACAGGTCTGAAGTCTGTTTTTAAGACTCTGGAAAACAGTTTTCTAGAGTGGACATTGCAGCTCTTAGAGCATTCCATTAGACCATTCTTCCAAATGCCACCCATGTGCCTTGAGGGAAATTGTTCACTAAAGTATGTTCCCAAAATTCCATCGGATGTTACAGTCACAGATTTTTCATTAGTAACTTGACACTCCTTCACCTTATTAGTTGGGAACCTCTGAAGAAATATCATGCCTACAAATGCTAAATTAAGATATTATGGAAAGGGAGGAATTGCATTGACTATTTAATCAGAATATAACTCCTGATGACTGAAAAGAACACTCAAATATACAGCACCTCTAACATGTGAACAGTTTTCTCTTGACTTCTTTTTCCTCCCTCACTCATTCAACTGTGAAGTGTTTTCTAACTCCAACTGTTAAACTTCCCTATTACATTCTATACCACACCAATTTTGTCTTATTAGTCATTTATATTGCTAGGAAAACAACAAATTCTTCCACCACTTGTTTTTTATCACACCCTCTTTCACAAAATTATTTCTTAAAAAGTGAAAACTCACCTTTTGAATCTGTGTACCTCTCTATCTTGACATCTTACAAATTCATGGGAATCAAGTCTTTTTCACGTATTCTCCACCCTCTCCCACATAGTCTCAGTATCTCAACTGACCTGGAGAAATGCTTTTTTGTTTGTTTGTTTGTTTGTTTCATACCAAACAGTAACAGGCCTATCCATCACAGCTACTACTGTTGGGGGGTGGGGGTTACCAAATATTTATGTTAAGGCCAAATTAAGATATCCCATCAAAAACTCCAACAGTCACACTGCTGCTAAAGAAAACAGGGTACTTAAAAAAAATTTTTTTTCTTTAACATCTGAACAAGACTTATAAATACTAAAATCAATTAAATTATCACAACACTCTCTTCCAGTCACATTAATCTTGCATCTTTTTAACCAGCTCATTTTTTAAGAACACTTTTCAGCAGAAGAGGCAGCCCTGAGAATTGGAAGGTTGATAATAAGTAATGTGAATTCAGAACTTTTCAAAATATTTTAGAACTGCCTGAACCTGGTTGATGATTCAACCTTGATTAATTAGTATAGAGATTCATCACAAGTTAGCCAACAATCCCCTGTGTGATGGCACTTCTGCTAGGTCAAAAGGATCACCTAATTCAACCCGGAGCGTGGGGGGGGGGGGGTGTCTCACCTCCACAGGCAGAGTAAAAAGATAATGCTTTCTAGGCATCGGAGCAGGTTCACTGCCAGGTCCATGGTCCACTGTCCTGCTAGTGGAAGAAGTCTAGAATATGGTAGGAAGACACTGGGTGTGTTTCCACCTGGCACCATCTCCTAACTTTCTTTGCCTCCTAAGGACCCCAAGGGTGGTTTTCCTTGGGCGGTTGCAGGATTCTTATTAGAAGGACGCAACTACCTCGTGGGTTTGAGGAGGAAACCTCGGGTGAAAAATACAGGAGCCCTTGCGCAGATCCTGCTTGGGTCCGAAGGGTCACTGACAGCCTCCCCTGGGGAGCCGCCCGCACTTCTGGTGGGATCAGGCAGAGGGAGGAACCGCGGGCTCGCAGCGGAGCTCAAGCCTCGGGGGGAGGGGAAGACCTTCAGGCGCGCAGGGATGGGGAGCCCCGCGCCGCCCTTGAGCCTCGGGGCTTGGGGAGGCCGGGTCAGCGCGCGGACACGGCCGCCAGCACACCTGAGCCGCGCCCAGCCCGGCAGTCGGTCACCGCGACCTCGCCCTGCCCGGCCGCCCCCTGGGCCCGCCCGACGTCAGTTCGCGGGGTCCCGGCCCACCGCCCCCGACCCGACCCGGTCGCCCGGTCCCATCATACCTGACCGGCAGCGGCGGCGGCGGCGGCAGCGGCGGCGGCGGCGGCGCTGCTCCTCACGTACCCGTTCCGCACTTCCCCGTTCGCCACGCAGCCGTTCGCGCGCGCTGGGCGGCGGCAGCAGCAGCCTCCCGGTTCCGGCCGCATCTTACGGGCAGCACCAGGCGCAAGGAAGGCTCTGTAAGCAGCGGCGGCAGCTCCGACTCCCGCTCCGCACCGCACCCACCTCCCCGAAACCGGAAATGGCTGCAGCGCCGCCGCCAATTCCCGGTGCGGCCGTCACACGGAGGTGGGGCCCGCTCTCCGGAGGACGCGACTCGCCCAAGGCCCGGTGATGAAGGGGGACCCAGGGCGGGGCCGAGCCGCGCAGGGACGAGGGCCTGACGGCGGCTGGCCAATCCGGAGGAGGAGGAGGCGGACCTGTGCGGCTTCCCAGCCAATCACGGGTGAGAGCAGCGCGGCTCTCCCGCGCAGAGGGGCTTCTCTAGAAGGGACTGGTGGACCTGGCACCTGATTGGAGACCCAAGCCAGGTCGTGTAGGGCTTGGCAGCCTAATGGTCCAGACTAAGGAGGAGGCGGAGTCCAGGAAAAAGTAACCAATGAGAGTGTGAGGAAAGAAAGAGGGGCTGAACCTGTCGCTAGAGCGGGTTCCCTGGTTCTCCCAGACAGGTGGTGCCCTCTCTGCCATTGCCTCCTGGGAAGTAGAATCCCAGCCCAAGACAGGCAGCTCATTATTTCATTAGCAAATCCCCCTGTGGGTGTTAATAGAATAGCCTTTTTGACAATCTCTCACCATTCTTCAATATGCAACACATAACACATTTCTTAAGTAATAATTAAGATGTCTCTTCTTGTGCCCTTCACGTTTGTCCCTGTCAGGGTTTTCCCCACTTCCTTTTAAAGACTTCTTGAAAATCAGGAAACCTGGGCTGTGGATATGGCTCAGTGGTAATGTCTGCCTGGCTTGCATGAGGCCGTGGGGATTCAAAAAATAAATGAAGAAAGAAAATCAAGAAACCTTTCAACTCTGTCAACTAGACACTAAAATTTGAATATTTAACCACTTTGGGAATCAAATTTCTTGAAACGGAGTTAATACTTTCTGCCTCACAGACTCATTGCTAGAATTATATTAGTAAAGTGTTACGCATCAAAATATCTTACCCAGTCTAGAAGCATGGTAAATATTATTTTCTAGCTCTTTTAGTTCTGTCTTTGTAGAGTGGGTTAAAAAAAAAAGAAGAAGAAGAAGTTTGATCTACATTACAGCAAGAGACTTTCAGTTACCCATAAAGAATTTAGTGTCAAGTTAAAGAGTATAGACTCGAGTCAGTCTGGGTTTCAATCCTGGCTGTGCCATTACTAGCTGACTGACCTCTATTTGTCTTCCTCTGTTCAGTGGGGATAATAATAGTTGTCATCAGGATCTAATGAGTTAATACATGTAAGGTGTTTTGCATAGGACCTAGCAATTAGGAAGCATTCATTAAGTGCTGGTTATTATTAATTGCTGACTGCACCTCATAGAGTCCCTGCATTTCCCCCCTACTCTCCTGGAGCTTTAGAAACAGGTTGACAAGGAATCAGTTTTGCTTGGGGAACTGAACAGTAAGAGCAGGTGGGGAAGACACATATTTGAATGGACAAACATTAAGATCCTGAAGTGAACATAAGTCTATGGATTAGGGTAAAAAAAAAAGAATATTATGCACCATGAAACTGACATTCCAGGGAGAGACAAGTGCACATATAAAGAAAACAATAAAAGGCTGACCCAGGCCAGGAGGAACTGGGTGACAGGACTTCTGGTGAGGAAGGATGGATGACAGTGGCAAGTCAAATTTCCACATAGCAAGTTTTCAGGGCAGGAATCTGTTGGAAGCAGGAGCAGGACCTAAGAGATTTTATTGAAGCTTAGATAATGAGCTGAATGAATCTTGAGAAGGCTTGAGAGGATGATACAGACCGAGATGGATCTTGAGGATTAGCAGGATTTGGAAAACAAGAACTGAGAAGGAAAGGGAGGGTGTTCTAGAGAGAGGGTACCTTCAAAAGCTCAAGTGCAGAGGATGGAAAGAACAAAGTCTGAACTGGAGCCTAAGAAGAGTAAAGGTACCTGGCTAGATTAGAGGGATCCTGTTAGCCAGTCCCACCTTCCTGAAGGGAGGACTCCAGCTCCTTATCTTGTTCTGCCACTTACTCATCATGTGTGGTCTTGATCCAGTCATGTATACCCAGCCCTGGTTTCCTCACTCATCTTCTGAAGTTAATACCTGTGTTACTTACCTCACAAATGATAGGATTGCTCCATATGCCATTGCTAAATCGAAAAATGGATGTCTCAGTAGGCAGTAGGAAACACTCCAGGCTCCAGGCTTCCTTATGTGAAAGGTGCCTCATCATCCTAACTTTATAGAATTCATATGCAAAGTTCTGTGCTGGACACAAGAAACATAATTCTCCTCTTCCTTCAAGGTTGCTCAAGCCAGTTTAGCTACAAAGCCTTTCTTGAATGTCAGCCTCCCTATAACATTAGGAGGTTGACGTTCAAGGCGTCCATTACAAGAAGATAGAGCCTAGGAATAAAAAGGACAAACAACAATACTTTGGAATGCAAGTTAAAAGAGAAGCTCTCCTGTATAGCAACAGGGATTGCTTCCTAGAAGAGAAATGAAATGAAAGAAACCAGGCATTTCACAGGGGGAGTAGCCAGCCTGCACTATCAGACTATCAGATAGGAGTTTTGGTTGCACACAGTGCAAGTCAACTTTCCCTGACTGACATGGAAGATAATTCACTGGAAGGTTATCGGCAGCTCAGAGACTTGCCTGAAGCTCCAGAAGGCCAGGCAGCAAGGACCACAACAAGGCTTTGTGGCAGGAACTCTGCTGAGCAGGTTCAATTACTTCCACCCAGCCCTTCCCTCCTTGGGTGGCTTGGTCAGGGGTCAGAGTCCTGCGGAGAGCATCTGATTGACTGAATTAGGTCACACCACACAGGCACAGACAGAAGAAGGATATGGCTCCTTCACTTTCACTGGTAGAAGGGACCTACCAACATTCACCCTCCAAGAAGAGGATACACAATGAGGAGAGGTGATTTCCCAAAAGGAAATTGGGGACCAAATAGAAAAAAGGAATGGACACCCAACAAGCAAAAATGATGAATGCCCACTTTATCTGTAAGACCGAAGAAGAATCACAGGATAAAAAGTGCCCTTTAGAAGTGATCTACTTCAGGCTGGGGATGTGGCTCAAGCGGTAGCGTGCTTGCCTGGCATGCGTGCGGCCCGGGTTCGATCCTCAGCACCACATACAAAGATGTTGTGTCTGCCGAAAACTAAATAATAAATATTAAAAAATTAAAAAAAAAAAGAAGTGATCTGCTTCTGTCAACACCAGAGCTAGACCACTCAGAGCTACTTTCTGATCCTGACTCTGAGACCTTCATTTAGTCTTCTCTTTTCAAACTTCCCATGCTTCATTCATTCATTTCTCTATTTTGGTCACTCATTTAACAAATATATAATTTTTTTATTTTGCTGAGCATCCTGTCAGATAACACAACTACAAGGATAAGCAGAAAGTATAGTGTCTCTGCCCTTATGGAAATATCAGTCTTCATTTACAAGAAATGAGTCTGCTGTTTCCTTTTCATTATTACTAATCTAATACAACCAGGGAAAGAGACTACTGCTCTCCCTGGAATTCTGACCCCATTTTTGCAGAAAAACCTTAGATAATGTTTTTCGATCATTTTCGGCGGCAATATTTATATCCACAAAACTGGACAGGCCCTGGAACAAGAGCTAAGAATTGCATTATTATTGGGAGGACTGAGCTATTTAAAGGAATGATTGCATGCAAATATGAAACTTTAAAAGGAATAATAGGAGCTGGGAATGTAGCTCAGTGGCAGAACACTTATCCATCATGCATGAGGCTCTGGGTTCAATCCCCAACACTGCAAAAAGAAAATAAAAAAGAGGGATCATAGTTTCTGATTATGCACCTACTGGGTGCCTGCTGAGCATCCACTAGAGCAATTTTAATCTGTGTCTAACAAGGCATCTGCAATAGGTGCTCTGTAGTAAGATAGATGAGCACTCCAGGAATTGGCTAGAACCTGTGTCTCAATGGCAGGTCTCTGCCCTTGTGTTTCCTCTGCTCCAGAAACACCTCTGAGCTTCCAACTGAACTGCCTCACCCTACACTGCCACCCTGAATTTCCTGTGGGCACTCATCCAGCTGAATGTTGCAATTATCTGAGGTTCTGTTTCAGGAAGTGAACTTTTGCTTCTGGCTCCAGGAAGGAGAAAAAGGGGTGGTGATCGAGATAACAATTATGATAATAGTGGTAGTGTTAGGATATTAGGATTCTGACTTGCAGTTTTGAAACTGAATTCAAAATGAATTTATAAAAGAAGATTTATTGGTTTCTAAAAAACAAAAAGGCCAGGGGCACATCTGACTGTTTCCCTGTATCCCAGTGAAGTCATTAGGAATTTGTCTTCATCCTTTGTTTGGTGTCCCTCGTGGTTGACTTTCTTGCCATATTGGTTGTCACCACATGATGACATGTTACATAGCAAGCAAGCTTGCCATGAGTAGCTTTAAAATCTTAGCCAAGGTGCCAGACACAGTGGTGCAACTCTGTAATCCCAGCAGCTCAGAGGCAGGAGGATTGCAAATTCAAAGCCAGCCTCAGCAACCTAGAAAGGCCCTCAGTAACTTAGCAAGATCCTATCTCAAAATAAAAAATAAAAAGTTTGGGGATGTGGCTCAGTGGTTAAGTGCCTCTGGGTTCAATCTCCAGTAACCAAAATAATGATGATGATGATGTTAAAAATCTCATCCAAGGCGCTGCGGGTGTAGCTCAGTGGTAGAGTGCTTCCCTAGCATGTGGGAGACCCTGGGTTCCAGCCTGGCATCACAAAAAACAAAAACAACAAAAAACTCAGCCAGGAGACAGTCCTTTTTTTGGTAATCCCCCCTGAGGTGGACTCCCATTGCCTCAGATGGATGTTGAATTGATTGGTCAGGCCTGAATCTTGTACCTACCCACTCCACCGATTTGAGGCCAGTGCTTTCCCAATTGGAAGAGATGGGTATTGTTACCATATAAAAGTGGTAGGCAGCTATAATTAACACAGGACCATTTTACTGACCATATTGGATATGATGACAGTAAGAAGCAGGAAGTAGGGATGCATAGAAGATTCTCAGCATTTTAGGCAATGTTACAGGGAAAAAACTCACTCTCTTTCCCATCACTCTTTTTGTATTTACCTGGCTATGCTATATATTCTTAGATTTTAAAAATGAC